TGGGGTTAAAGGGCATGGCTTTGATTTTCTTGCCTGCTAGTATGGCTGAGACTGGGTAGCTTGGTCTGTGTGGACTTCCGTTTCCATTTCTGTAGGATAGGGGAGGTGGACTCATTATCTCCGAGCAGCTGCTGAGCTCAGATGTTAGAGGACTCTTCAGTCCTACTTAGACAGGTAGAGCTCTCTCTGTCAGCAAGCTCCACAGTCCTCTTGGTTTGGGGAAGATGCGAGGACCAAAGAGACCACCTAAACCAGTGTAAGTCATCTCTGAAGACCCTAGGAGGGAGGGGGAAGGACAGCATTAAGGCGGGGGAATGGAAGTGAGTGGAAGACTCCCAGGATTTGGAACCTTAATTCTCAGTGTTGTCAGTTCAGCAATCTACTGTTTCATTTAGAGAACAAGATTTTTTTCTTTTTTCTTTTCTTTTTTTTTTTTTTAGAGGTTTTTGTTATAGGGCGCATGTGCTCACCAGACAGAGGGAGACAGAAAGCGAGAAGTCACCCTCCCAGGGGGGATGGCCACGCCGCAATCCCTTCTCCTCCATTCTCTTCTTGGGATCTTGGGCACGCACACACACGGCGTGAGTTTTAACCCACCGGGTCCGGGACACGAACCGCGGTTGGCTACATGGAAGTCCAGAGACATAGCCATTACGCTAACTGCTGGTCCCAGAGAACAAGATTTTTTTTTTAAAGTTTCCACCATAGGGCACATGTGCTCACCAGAGAGACAGAGAGAAGGAAAATGAGAAGTCACCCCCCCCATCCCCGGGAGGGATGGCCACATTGCAATTCATTCTCCTCCATGCACATGCAAAGCATGATTTTCAAGCCGCCGGGTCTGGGACTCGAACTGTGATCAGCCATGTGGGATTTCAATACTTTAACCACCACACCATGTGCTGGTCCTGAGAGTAAGATTTAAGGAATTTACTCTGTGAGGTCAAGACCATGAGAGTCATCCTTGTATCCCATTCTTGGTAGCATTGGAAACCTTAAAAAACATGGAGGAACTGGTCCCTGGCATGGATCTTGGACTCTTGAAATATCCTTTAAACGTTGCCTAACCCCTACTACCCAAAGCGTCTTTCCTGGACCAGCTGCGTCAGCATCATCTTGGGGGAACATGTTAGAACTGTAGAATCTCGAGCCCCACCAAGACATATAGTACTATTCCAGAATATACAATTACAAGATCTCTTGTGATTCTACTGCACATTAAAGTTTGAGGAGCCCTAATGTTGCATGTGATTCCCCTCCTTCACATTCTGATAAACAGTCAAGCTTCCCATTCCTGCCCTCCTCTAACATCTTTTCCAAGAGCTGCATTTCATCCTACAACCAGTCCAACTGCTAGAATTTCTTCTTTATCTTAGGCTGATCCCTCCTTCAGTGACTTCTACCATTGGCACTCACTCTCTGATCTCAGGACCTCGAGATAACTCCTCCCAGGGCTTCTTAAGTCCTAGTCCTCTTAGGACACAGTTTCTGCTCTTCCTACCCTAGTTTTTGTATTTCTCAGCAGATTGCAGACTCCCTGAGGCCAGGGAGGTAACACAGATCCACTCTGAGAGCCTCCTGAAAGGCAGTAATAAGGAAGGGTGTAGTCAGCCACCAACTGGAACTCATGCCCCACCAAACCTAGCCTAGTCTAGCCCAGCCTAGCTCAGCCCAGCTGGGGGCGGAGGGAACTCAGCCCAAACAAATATTGATGTATCTGTTGGGTTTTTAAAAAAAGTTAAAAATGTTGGTAAAACAGTATGAAATCTTCCTACATTTTAAAACTGGAGCTTAAAAAACCCAACCAAAATGAAAACACCTGAGAAGCCAGCAGATTGTGTTCTCCGATGCCCTCATTTGGCCCACAGGCCTTGGGTTTTTACAACCTTTGACAATGAACATGTGCTCAACTTGGATAAAACAGCCCCAGTTTAGTCTGATCATCACAAAGCGGGTAGGATTATTGTCTCCGTCATTATAGACCAGTAGTTCTCAAACTCAAACGTGAACCAGGATTATTTGGAAGCCTCATTAAAAACAAATAGTTAGGGGCCAGCATGTGGTGTGGTAGTTAAAGGCACTGGACTCCGACATGGCCAATGACGGTTTGAGTCCTGGACCTAGAGACTTGCTTTCTCACCCCCCCCCCCCAATTTCTCTCTGGTCAAATTTAAAAATAATAATAAGATTTTAATAAATAATTATTTTTTTAAAAAAATAGCATCATACCCACCTCCTAGATTTTCAGTTTCAAGAGGTCTAGGGTTGGCTCCAGAAACTTCCATTTCTACCAAGTTCCCAGCTAGTGTGGATGCTGCTATTTCAGGACAACCCTTTGAGGCTCGCAGGTTTAAATTTGTGCCTTCCATGAAGCAGCCTCAGTTTGCATGGTCTCTTTGATTCTACCAGTGACCTAAAGTAATCAATCAAAGCTTCCAATCTTTGGGTAGCAAAAGAGGGGAAGGAAACAGGGAGTGGGGGCTTGAGGAAGGAGGGCTAAACAGCCCCTCACTGGTCACCCTGACATGGAGAATCAGGACTTTACTTGGGTTAGGTTCCTGGCCTACCCCAAGTCTTGATTTCTCTGTGGTGTAAGAAAGTGGCTCTAGCTCATTTTCCAAATGTATTCACTGGTTTGCTTGGGAGATTTGATTGTCTGATTGTTTTTAGCAGAACGTTTTCAAATAAAATCCCACTTGGAAGCCTGGTACACAGTACAGATGCCTGCTGGTCTGACTGAAAGGGAGAGGCAAGCTCTTCCTCTCAGCCTGCCCCTTCCCAAGGCAGTGCCTCGGGCCTCTTCTGTAGAACTGTAGTTCCATGCTGTTGAAACCCACTGAACTGATTAGATGGTCCTGCAAGGACCTTGAGCTCAGCTTCTATGATTTCTAAGAACCCTAAGAACTGTCTGGCACGCGGCCTTTGTTTTTGTAGCTTTCTTTTCCTTTCTGATCAAGACGTCTAGCAGGCCAACTTTCAGAATGATCTTCTTATAATTCAGAGAGGTCTGTGGGAGAGAAAAGGCAAAGGATTATTATCACTAGACCTATTGCAAGGCTATTGAGCTGTTGTGGAAAATCTGCTAATGCCAGGATTGGTCAAAGACTTCCTAAACAGGAGAACGATGATTGTATTCAGGCAGCTTCTTGTTAGCACTAATGTCCCAGCACACCAAACGGGTTCAGGGCCTTTGTAGTTCATTATATAGGAAATAAGACTATTGGATTCTGCCTGTCACGATGGCAAGAGCAAGACTGAGGGATTTTTAATGGGCAAGATGATCCGGAAAACCATTGTCATTTGTGTGAATAGGAGAGATGTGTAAATAGCTGTGTGATGCGGCTGACCTTGGGAAGACTCCAGCTGAGCCCAGCAAAGCACCAGGCACCTTCTGATGACCCCATACTCAGAATGCAGCCCCCTTTAATTGGGGAAAACCGCTTCCTAGTGGGCCCACCACGATGGGCTGACCTCCCTGGACACATAATGAATGCTATCTGCCTGGCTCCCGGAGGCTGCTCTCTTGCGGTTGCTGTGCATGCCTTTTTTCTTTCCATCGTTCAGTTGCCTGTTTATACACTCTCCATACCTTTGCCAAATAACCACCCTCTTTGGAAGCGGGCCCCAGGACTATAGAGATGACCAAGACCTGACTTCTACTCCTGTGCTTGAAGTGCCTTTCATTCGGGCCAACACAGACCTGCCTTTATCTACCCACACCTTGCAGGCCCGGCTCAGGCTGCTGGCCCTGCCCACCTCTCAGTTCTGCTGGTCTGAGGCCCTGCCCAAATGCCCTGGTTCATGCCTAGGGAATGGTCTTCATTTTCCCCAGTGGAAGTGAGCTGTAGTGCTGGTCTGGCCTTTTCATTTTCGAGTCACTTACGCTGCCCTATTCAATATGTAGCCACTGGCCCCATGTAGCTATCAGACACTTAAAATGGATTTGAATCAAAATGATCACAAGTGTAAATTGTGTACACACCAGACTTCAGAGACTTATTACCCAAAAAAAGGGTAAAATACCTCAATATTTTTTATGTTGCATGATAAACAAAATGATGATATTCTAGATAGACTATATTAGACTACATAAAATACATCATTAAAATGAAACTTTTTTCTTTTTTTCTGGGAGAGGGTTTGCCATAGCGCGTGTACTCACCAGAAAGAGACAGAAAGAGACACAGTGAGAGGGAGAGTGAGAAATCACCCCCCCCCCGGGGGATGACCGCAAAGCAATCCCTTCTCCTCCACTTTCCTCTCATGATTGGGCATGCACATGCTCAGTATGATTTTCAAGCCACTTGTTCCAAGACTTGAACCGTGATTGGCTATGTGGGAGTCCAGTGCCTTAATCACCATGTCACCTGCCGGCCCCTTCCTTTTTCTAATAAGGCCACTAAAAAGTTTCATATGTGGTTTGCATTACATTTTTGTTAAACAGTTCCACACTTGGGACTTGGCTTTGTTGCTGAACTCGCATGTAGTTGACCACGGTTCGAGTCCCGGACCCAGTCGCTGAAACTCATGCCAGGCGCATGTGTGTGCGTGCCCAAGATCCCAAGAGGAGAATGGAGGAGAAGGGATTGTGGCCATTCCCCCGTGGGGGGTGATTTCTTGCTTTCTGTCTCTCTCTCTCTCTCTGACTTTCTGGCGAGTGCATGTGCCTTATAGCAAAAGCCTCTCAAAACAAAACAAAACAAAGCAAAACAAATAGTGCCACACTTAGTGCTTTCTCCCTTGGGTGAAAAGGATGTGTCCATCTTGCCTCCTATTTGTGAGTTCCCAAAAAGTGGACACAGGCTCCTGTCATCTTGCCGGCCTTGCAGTCTGGCCCGCCCCTGGCAGAGGTATACTGAGGGAACGAACAAATGAACAATGACAAGCATTTAATCAGTACCAAAAACTCTGTGGGCAGTGTGACTTCTGGATCTGTATTGCTGAACTTATTTTCCCCTTTCTTCTTTCTCAAAGTTTTTGTCTTTTTTAATTTTTTTCAGGGCTCACACAGTTGGCAAAAGAAGACATTTTTCTTGGGAGATGGGCAGAAGCGGAAGGACTGGCACGACAGGGAAGCCATCAAGAGGGACGCTCAGCGTGTAGGTACGGAGGGAGGATCGGAGGGTCATCACGGGTGGGTTCTCTGGAGGGCATATGCACGCACACATGCACGCTGGTGTGTGTGTTTAGGAGGGGTGTCTGGACCTCCAGTTGACTCCCGCCTTGTCTGCCACCATTCCTTTCCCTTGTTCCTGGGGACCTCCCACCACTTACACGTGCCCTAACCCCTTTCTCCACTCACGTCATCAGATCCATTGTCTGCAGGTACTTGTCGGCAGGTGATTGAAATGTCTCCCCCACGAAAGATATTTTACCACTAAAACAAGGCGCTATAATAACAAGGGCCAGCATTTACTGGACACCTACGCGGGACAAGGTTTTTACTCTGTACTTTGTACATCTCTGCGAAACACCAAATCAACCTTTAGGGCCCATTTAAAAAGAAGGGTCTTGTAGCTCAGAGAGATGCAGAAATCTGTGTACAGTCACACAGTGAGGAAATACAGACTAGGAATGGAAACCCAGCCACGTGTGGAAGGCAGAGCTAATCTGTAGTCACTACCATAACCACAAGGTTGTATGAATGTTGTGGGCTTCAGCCAAGGTTTTCTTTGGCTAATTCATTTTTTGGAGCTGTTCCTGTTACATCAGAGAGTTGGGAAGTGTGGGGGTCGGGTGGTACAGAAATGATATGGAAAATCATCTCCAGGGACCCTGGGCTAAGGAATCAAAAGAGCAGCTCTGATACCACTTACCAGCCTCAGTTTCTCCATCTGTCAATGGGGCTCATACTTCCTGCTTGGAGAACCTTAGGACATTCTTATAAGGGTGACAAATAAAGGGATAGGTATAAAGCAGTTTTGTGGTACTGGAAAATGCTGTAGAAATATAAGGGATTGGTATTTTAGTCATTTGTATCCCAATGATAGGCATCCACCATTATTGATGCCAAAACCAACTTACGACAAGGCTCTAAATGAAGCTAGTAAGATAACTCAACTGATGGGAATGGAAATATGAATACATGACATGTAGGTTTCCATAGACCAGTGGTTTAAAGTGGGAGGGGAGGTTGCTGTTTAAATGAAGAAAAGAGGGAACCAGCAGTTAGCGTAATGGCTATGTCGCTGGACTCCCACGTAGTCGACCGCGGTTCACGTCCCGGACCCGGTGGCTTAAAACTCACGCCGGGCACGTGTGCGTGCGTGCCCAAGATCCCAAGAGGAGAATGGAGGAGAAGGGATTGCGGCGTGACCATCCCCCCTGGAGGGGTGATTTCTCGCTTTCCATCTCTATGTCTCTGTCTGTCTGGCGAGCGCACGTGCCCTATAGTGAAAAACCTCTCCAAAAAAAAAAAAGGGAAGAAAAGAAACATTTAGAAAGAGCTGATATGTCATCTCTACTAGAGTTACTAGAATATTGGGCTAACCAGCAAAAGAGTAAGCAGTGGAGACATTCGGAATATTAATAACTACTCAGTCATGTGTTGCGTGTTATGTGCCAGGTGTCTTGCCCTCCATAATCATTACATTGAATCTTCTGATTTTGACATTCATGCAAAAGACAAAAACTGAGACTTAGAAAGACAAAAGGCACACCCAAGATGACATAGCTAGGGTGACATAGCTAGGGTCTAGCAGAGATGGCCTCTGAACTCCCCCTGCCCAGTTCCAGGGCCTGAACTCTGAGTATCTTCCCTGTATTAACCATTTTCCTAAAGCTTCCCTCCTTGAACAAGCACTTATGGTGTTTTGGGTTTGTTTTGGTTTGGGTTTGGGTTTTTTTCTTTTTTTAGAGAGAGAGATTTTTGTTAGAGGGTGTGTGTGCTCACTAGAAAGGGAGACAGAAAGCGAAAAATCACCCCCCAGGAGGGATGGCCAGGCCACAGTCCCTTCTCCGTTCTCTTGGGATCTTGGGCACACACACTTACACACCCAGTGTGAGTTTTAAGCCACTAGTTCTGGGACTCAAACCAGTCAACTATGTGGGAATCCAGTGACACAGCCATTATGCCATCTGCTGGCCCCATACTTACAGTCTTTATTTGCTTGCCACATTTGTGTCCCTTGTGGAATGGTCAGCAGTGTCTTACATGCAACATTACAATTTACAACTGGCGGAAGCCTGCCCCAAGCTGGCTGACCAGAGTAGACACAGTTCTTGAGCTCCACCTCTCCGCTATACCTTACTGTCCAGCTGTTATTGGCACCTTGCAAAGGAAACAGGTGTTGCTCAGACCACAAGCTCTAGGAGAGGTGATTTTTTAACCAGCTGGGTTTATTGCCATTTCTTTAAGACCCTCACCACAGCAGATTCTTGGGCAACTACTGCAGGGGGGTTGGTGGACATTCCCACTCACCATATGCACTGGGAGCCCAGAGAATAATTTCCTGGAGCATTAGGGACTCTTTCCCAGATGGATCGTGCAGAGTGAGGAAAGCTAGCACTTCATCCACTCAAATCCGTGACTAAAAGCAACACTTCTCAGGCAATCCTGGCTTAGGGTAGGCAGATCTTAATTTGTTTGCTTGCTTTTAAAAAAAGCATCTTTTATCGTTTATGGCAATTTTGATTTACATATAAAGTTTGCCTTACCTAGAGAGTAATCATAAACCCTCACATTTATGTAGTGTTTTATGGTTTGCAAAAAGCTTTCACATATGCATACTGTTTTGACTCACCCCAAACATGCTGTGGGTATCCGAGGAGAAAGCCACCACCTAGAGAGTTGGTGTGACTTGCCCAAGGTGGACCCACTCATAGTTGGAAGACCTCTTGTCTAGGTGACTGGGCTCCACTAGCAGGGGTGTGTGGGACTCCAGGTGGAGTGGAGGGAGCGTGGGCTTTTGAACCCACACAGTTGGTTTTATAACCTTTCTGAATCTCATTTTATCCATTCGTCAAGAGCTCTCATATCCAGCCTGCTGGGATGGTAGGGGGGTTTCATGAACACCAGATTTGTGAAGTGCATGACAAGGCCATGGCTGAGGCAATGCTTGTTCCCGCCTGCTCTTTGCACTTCCCCTGCAAAATCTGGGGGCATGCTCCATATCCAACTGTAAAGTTCGATCTCTGGTTTAATCATATTTTTCATCCTTCCCCACCTCCACTCCATATACCGTACCCTCCTATATGCTGGGTAATTGGCAACATTGAATTTACTCTTTGCCACTAGGAAATGGAGAACAAGGGAGACCTTACCCGCTGACGGACGCTGAGCGAGTGGATCAGGCATACCGGGAAAATGGATTTAACATCTACGTCAGTGATAAAATCTCCCTGAATCGCTCTCTCCCTGATATCCGGCACCCAAAGTAAGTATAAGGTCTCTCAAATTCTGGGATCTAAGGATTTTGCCCCTGACTCTTGTTAAGAATTAATTAAAGAAACAGGTACATGAAGCGCTGCTGGTGGAGATTCCTTCCTGTTACACAGTCTTTATGCATGTGATTAGAGCTGGGGAAGGAGGCCCGGCTGTTTCTCCAGAAGAGCGAGTCTGCTTCTTCTTTGCAAGGAGTTGGAACCATGTAACCTTGGCATTTCCCCTTTTGCTCTGGCCCACAGGGAAGTTCAGACCTTGGTTCAGAGGACAATTACAGTGATGTTTTCAGCCCTTACTCTCTACATGTTCTTTATGGGCTATTTTTATTTCTTTTAAAAATAATCTTCATTTGATCAATAGCTACCCGATACACCTGAATTTTTATCTTTGTGACTAAGTCTCTCAAATCATGTGAGGACATGTGGGAAGGAGGGCCGGCCAGCAGTTGGCATAATGGCTATGTCACTGGACCCACATGTAGTCGACCGCTGTTCAAGTCCCAGATCCGGTGGCTTAAACTCATGCCAGGCATGTGTGAGTGTGTGCCCAAGATCCTGAGAGGAGAATGGAGGAGAAGGGATTGCAGCGTGGCCATCTGTCCTGGGGGATGATTTCTCACTTCCTAGCTCTCTATCTCTGTCTGTCTTTCTGGAGAGTGCACACGCCCTATAGCAAAAACCTCTCCAAAAAAAAAAAAAAAGAGTGGGAACATGTGGTGATGATGACAAAGATGATCACAATGGCAGCTGCTGTTCATGTACAGCATCTCGGGGTCCTGTTAGGTAAGTCCTGGAGCCACACTCATTTTACAGATCAGGAAACAGAGGCTTACAGGGTGGTTATAACTAATGAAGACCACAGGTGTTTAAGAAGCCGAGCTAAGGGGCACAGCAGGTTGCATGGTGGTTAAGGGACTGGACCCCCACATGGCCAATCGCAGTTCAAGTCCTGGACGTGGCAACTTGCTTTCTCACTTTCTCTCTCTCTCACATGTGCCCAATAGCAAATTAAATAATAATAATAATAATAAATAAAATTCAATCATAATTTTTTTTTCCTAGAGATTTTTGCTATAAGGCACATGCACTCGCTGGAGAGACAGAGACAGAAAGTGAGAAATCACCTTGGGGGCGGGGGGGGGGTTGTCCATGCCGCAATCTCTTCTCCTCCATTTTCCTCTTGGGAATTTGGGCATGCATACACATGCACCCAACATTAATTTTAAGCTGCTAGGTCCAAGACTTGAACCACAGTCAAGTACATGGGAGTCCAGTGACATTAACTGCTATGCCATCTACTGGTCCCAGTGATTTATCTAGTAAAATACTTATTAAACTTGAACTTGATGAACATTGCGTGGAAGATTGTTAGAACTGAGGATGTTGAACCTCATCCCCAAAGTTTCTGATGGTGGGCTAGGTCTAAGTTGGGCCAAAATTTGCATTTCAAACAAGCTCCCAAGTGAGACCAGGTGCTGTTTATCTTGGGACCACACTTTGAGATGTACTGCCAGGAGATTTCAAAAGTGCTTCTCCATGAAGGCAGTTCTGAGTAGCACTGGAAGGCAGTTCTGAGTAGCACTGGGGCATGATGTTTCCCTCGGGGACTAAGGAAGGAGAGAGCCCAGGAAAAGGCAAGAAACAACTAACATTTATTCGGTGCTTAGCATATGCCAAGCATTGTTCTCTGCCTGCACTTTTCAAAGTGTGGTTCCCAGACCAGCAGTGTTCGTATCGCCCGGGAATTTGCCAGACATGCAGATTCTCGGACCCCAGTTCAGACTCACTGCATCCGAAGTTCTGGAAACGGATCTGGATGTCAGTGGTTTAACAAGCCCACCCACGTGAAACTGATGTTTACTCAAGTTTTTAAACCACTGTTTTAAGGACTTTACCTGCATTAACTCTGCCAGACTTTTCAAAACCCCTTTACGATAGGTACCCTTATCATCACCATCTTACATATAAAGAATCAAGGCACAAAAAGATGAACTATTTTGCATAACCCGACATAGCTATTAAGAGGCAAAGAGCCGGAATTTGAACACAGGGTGTCTGGCTCTATAATCCTTGTGCTTAATCAGTGACCCATAAAAATCTTTCTCTCTATAACTTCATCAGTAAACACAATACTAAAGGCTCAGTCAGGGGCCAGCAGGTGGCATGGAGGTTAAGGCAGCTGAATCCCACATGGCCAACTTCATGGTTCAAGGCCTCATGGCTTGAAAAGCACACTGGGCACTTGTGGATGTGTGCCCAAAATCCCGAGAGGAGACTAGGTGTGTAGGGATTACAGCATGGCTATCCCCCCAAGAGGGTGATTTCTCACTTTTCCTCTGTCAGTTTCTCTCTCTCCTAGGCATGCCCACACCCTATAGTTTAAAAAAAAAAAAGAAAAAAAAAAGACTTAATCATGGTAGTACCATGGTGACTTATCAAAAGGCTTCCATCCATTTCACCTCCTTTGGTTCCTGCAACAACAGCTTAGAGGCTGGCATTATTTTTGTCATCTCCACTCTGGAGGTGAAAAAGCCACTCAGCTGGGACTCCTGTTGGAGGATGTGTTGTCACCCAGGACTGGGTCCATTTCCCAGTAGCTTCTTGCAGTGAGAGGACGGAGCGGGGACCTCGGTGTGCTTGCAGGGGCGGGTTTCTGTCTGCTTCATGATCTTCACTGTCAGGTGCCAGATTTTTCCATCTGAGTCTGAGAGTATCGTTTAGCTATCAGTGATGTTGCTGAATTCAGAACTATGACCTGACTCCGAGGGTCAGAAATTCAATTTATGTGTTTAGCCCCTTGCAGAGTTCAGAATTCTGCACTAATTTCTCCTTCTGGGTATAAGAAAGAAGTTCATTTGGGAGCATTGTACTCTAACCTCATCTGCTGTTCTTGTGGCACTGTGAGTTCTCAAACTCGGCTGCACCTGTGTGATTTTTTAAAAATACAAGGCCAGGGTCCTACCCCAGAATCACTGGAGTCCATCTCTGAGGTTACCACCTCACCTTAGTATTTTCTAAAATCTCCAGATGCACTCTCCCATATAACTAGGGTTAAGAGTCGTTGGTATGAAATAAAAAATATTTCTGCAGTGAGCGAGAAGCAGGCTGGGTGTGGTCCCACTTCCATCTATCCATTCATCTAATTACTCAATAAATATGTAGTAATGGTCTTCCGTGTGCCCAGACCTATGCTCGACACCAGGAAGACATAGACACAGCCATTGCTGCAGCTTCCGAAGAAGCCACCGTCTTGTGCAAGACTGGGGCAGATGGCACAGGCAGGTCTTTGCGCCTCAGATGAGAAGATCGATAATAGGGGTAGGCATGGCAAGCTTTGGGACCACAGAGGATATCCCCCAAACCCGAGACCGTCTTTCGAGAGCTAGGAAAGCCTTCCAAAGGGAGGTGCCGTGTGCTGAGTCCTAACTAGAGCTAGCAAGTGGTCGGGAGCAGGAAGAACATGGCAGGTAGAGAAGCTGCCTAGACAGAGGCCTCCGGGCAAGACAGCACACACTCTTTGGTGAGCTCATCTTAAGAAGATGAACCTCTCACCTGCAGAGAAGTGGAGTTAGGAGGGGCACCCAGCTGCTTTGTTTCCCACCCATTGGAGTGCTCTTTCCTGACAGCCCAGAAACAAAAAAGAAAGAAAGAAACACTGTCTAGGAATCCTGGGGTCTGCAGACAGCTCCATGGGTAGAATTCCGGGAAATTTGTAAACAGATGAGAAAAGCATTGCATTTTTCTTTTTGTTAACCTCTAGCTGAAATTAAGTGTTCTCTTCGGTTATGAATGTAGGCCACAAAACCCTGTGACATTGTCACCCAAGGAAGTCATTTACTTTCATACCATGTTATAGACCTGTTGAAATGGCAAGTATGCTCATCATCGCTTTCAAAGTAGGTAGTTGTTAGGACTACCACTAGATCTTGTTTCATGCGTTAACAGAAAAGCACATGTATTACCATATTTCAGTTTTTTAAAATAAATTTCTGTAACTGTTTCAGCCTACTTGGTTTCTTTTACCCTCGTGTATTTTTTATTTTATGCATTATGATCCTTGCTCTGAGACATGTCTGGAGGCTTCACCAGCCTGGTATGGGGTCGTTGCCCCCCCCCCGCCCCCCAGCATTTAAGTCACTAACTGCAAAATGTGTCACAAAATCCAGTGCTCCTGACACCCCCCTCTTTTAGACTCTCCACTTGTGGAAGCTGACTTTTCAGAAAGGAGTTGACAGATGTCTTGAAGAGCTTTCCCTTTTTTCGGGGGGGGGGGGGCTTTCCCACAGTTTGACAGTAGAAATGTGTGAGTAAATTAGAGCAGTTGAGCCGCTCACTCCCTTCAGTTTCTTTTCACTTAAAGGACTTCTCCAGCCGGAGCTGAGGTTTATATTTGCCTTTTATTCCTTCAAACTGAATTTTGGCAACAATGTGTCAAGAACGGGATTGAGGGGCTGTTTGTTTGTGCCAGCTGCCTTTGCTTCCATCAGAAGCTGCACTGGGGAACCGAGGACTGAAAGTAGGCAGTTTGGCCCCAACTTGCTAGGCCTGCAGGTGGGAGGCGGCCAGCTGGCTCCTAGCGAAGGGTTGGCAGATTTCTTTAAGAGGTTTCCCTTTTTTGGGGGGGGGGGGGGGAGTCTTTCCCACAGTTTGACAGTAGAAATGTGTGAGTAAATTAGAGCAGTTGAGCCGCTCACTCCCTTCAGTTTCTTTTCACTTAAAGGACTTCTCCAGCCGGAGCTGAGGTTTATATTTGCCTTTTATTCCTTCAAACTGAATTTTGGCAACAATGTGTCAAGAACGGGATTGAGGGGCTGTTTGTTTGTGCCAGCTGCCTTTGCTTCCATCAGAAGCTGCACTGGGGAACCGAGGACTGAAAGTAGGCAGTTTGGCCCCAACTTGCTAGGCCTGCAGGTGGGAGGCGGCCAGCTGGCTCCTAGCGGGTCTGCCCTCTGCACCTCCTGCCAAGTGACCATGAACAGAGGCTGACTGGTGG